CTTGCTGTCTTAAAATCACAAATTTTAGAGTATCCACAAAATATCTACCATTGTCTTTCAACAATCACTCACAGGTCTGTAATCTATAATCAAAGAGAACAGCTGTCTTTGTTGCAATTTTTCAGGAGTCCTTAAATACCTATAAGAAGTTAAAATTCATAGCTTTTCGTAATTACGGTGTTTAGGACATTGAAAAAGAACTTCACCTTCCGTTTATAGGTTTTGAAGTTAATAATTCGAAAATTATTATATTATTCAAGTTTCAGATAAAAATCAAAACATAAAATGAATTTTCTTGATTCTGAAATTTTTTACTCTCATCTTTAGATCATATTTCTTTTAAACTATTAATTTTTTTATTTGCTTAAAAGCCAAAGATACATATATTAGAAATTTTTTATTTATCTTATAAACATTACCGTTTTTCTCTCAGCAGCAAACATACACACACACACACAAAAGCTATGCTTCCTCCAGGATTCGAACTAAGGACTTTTCGACTGCTAGTCTGACAGTTAACAGTTACACTACGAGTCCCACACACCAAAGAAGGCAATAATTCTTTACATTTCCCTTGCATAAATGGCAACAGAGTAAAAGAGAATGAGACTCAGCTGACGAAACTCAGGTGACGAATTATCGTCTACTACATTTTAGTCTGGCGCTAGTGCAGAAATATGAGAAATTTTGGAGCGAGAAATTTGAGAAATAAACTTTACTTCATGGAATTCGAACACCGGATCTTCAAGCTGATAGTCGGACGTGCTTCAGTTACATCCCCGACAGCGCGCACTGAGGAAAATAATAATTCTTTACATTCTTCTCCTTAATGAAAGGGGACTGCGAAGAGGGGAAAGTTGGCTCCAAATGCACGTGGTGACGAATTATTATTGACTACACTTTCAGTCGAGTGCCATTGCAGAATTCATTGATTTTTTGGGGCAAAGGACGGAAGAATTCATCTTTTACCTCACGAAGATTTTAACCCTGTATCTTCCGACCGTAAACAAATGTGTTACCAGTTACACTAGGACAGCAAGCGGGGAGAACTCTCTTTATCTTCTTATAATCGCTCTGCCATCTTAGATATTCATTCGAAGAATTTTGATTGTTAAAATCACTACAAAATGATTAACGGATTTAGCTATGGAAAACTGATTAAGGTTTTCAAATCACATTAAATGAAAAATAATTGCAAATAAAAATTTTGTGAGCTTTAAGGGCGGACGAAGCCAGTCAGAGATTAACAGTAGTAAAATTTACGGGTGCCTCTGAGAAAATGTGCGCAGATTTATATGCTAAACGCCTCAAGTGTAATAAAAAATTAAAATGCATAAATACTTTATAGTATTAATATTTCAATAAAACAATGATTTAAAGGAAGAAATAAGAAAATCGGGTTCTTTTATTTTTAAAAATTAAGAAATAAATTAAATGCATTTTATGTACAAAATGTAACAAAGGTATTTAAAAAAAATTATTCAATAATTTACTTTTCTAAGAAAAACATGTAGTACAGTCATATATCTTGATATATGTTGGATTTTCTTTCAACTATTTTCTTCTCTGAATTCTTAATCCTCTTTTTTCCCAGAGTTGAATAGAGAAATCTTAAACACATAGTCTTTAGTTTCATATTTCAAAAGGAAACCCGAATCTTCTTTCTTTCTTGTCCTCCCCCTAAGTCTCTGGATCAAAAGGAGTGTCTGAGATTCTAGCTGCTGCTGATACTGAACATATTACTTACTTCATTATCATAAAATTGTATTCGGGAAAACAATATCGATTGATACAAGAGTCCACCAGCGGCCGAACGGTAAAGTTGCTGAATACTGGTATTTTGACGTACGGTTCGATTCCAAATAAAGGGGCTAGCACAATGGGCGTTTTCGAGATTTTCCTTAGAAATTCCGCCATAAAGGCTCCTCTCCTGTTAGGCAGATAGCACTCTCGCGCTTTGCCATAATCAAGCAAAGTAAATCATTGGTAGATGCATAATCTAGTGAAAACAAAGAAGTCTGGAAAAAATGCCTTCTTCGACAATATCTTTTTTATAATAACTAGTAGAATGCATTCTATTGCACTTTGCAAAAATTTAATACTCTTGTACAATTGCTAATAATGTTTGGTATCATTTTATTCCTTAATGTTTAAATGAAAATCATCATTTCCAAAACGATAAATTCAAATATCATGATTAATATATTTTGTTTTCGACTTGATCAATATCCATGTGGCCAAATTCTCTACATTTCATTATAAATTACCTAAATTTCCCCTAGCCAAAGTTCCATGCATTATTTCTATTTTTATGTAGCCTGACGAGACAAAATAAACATTTCCACCATTATGTTTAAAGAAAAGATAATTCTTTAAAAAATTCCACATAATTCAAAATAAAAAAATATATAAATGCTTAACAATTATTTAAATCAGAATAAAATATTAAATAAATGGAGTTCACTGCTTTAACTTTTTTTAATCGCGCTTTTTTAGAAAAACCCAATGAGTGTTTGGAATTGGGAAAATCGTTAAATCTAAACATTCGGTAAATTTAAATATTTGGGTGTGACGTTTGACCACAAACTAACATGGAAACAATATGTAGAGGACTTGTCCAACTGTGCTACGAAGAGCCTCAGTGTCCTTAAACGCCTTGCTGGGACTGCACTAGACAAATCCTGCTTCAAACTTATCATTCGTTTACCTCCCCCTTCTGACTTACTGCTGTGAACCACTTGTTGTGGCCGCGGAAAATGTACTCCTGAAAAAATCCAAAATCAGTGCTTAAGTATTGTGTCTTGAGCCGTGAAGACCACCCCGATGGGCTTTCTACAGAGAGTTTTTCAGTTAAAAAACTCACTTGGTTTAATTGTATGAACCAAAATTACTTATTTCACTACAAAATCCAATAAATTTGCAATCTTTCATGATTAATCTTGATCTGGATCAAAAAGTAACCAAAAGTAATACGGATTCCTCGCTATCGAAGCATTAAAAATTTTTTACCCTGAACCAGAGTGGCTTCGGGTCTTTACTGATGGATCTCTCCTGTCTGATGGCCCTAATGCAGGTGCCGGAGTTTTCTCCGAAATTTTCTCTTTCTACATTCCTGTGAGCCGAGGTTCTGCGTTTGACGGTGAAATTACTGCGATTTGCACAACTCTGTACCAGCTGCCATGTCACATGGAAAATTCCCAAGAGCTGTTATCCTCAGTGATTCCCGAGCTGTCCTGTTGGCTATTCTTTCAGATAAAATCCCATATCACAGGACATATTGGATTGTCGACATTATCTAAAAAACTTGGCCTCACCTGCCCACTGTGGGGTTCCAGGTAACGAGAAAGCCGACTTCCTGGCAAAAAGTGTGCTTTAATCACGCAGAATATTTCTCGTCCTTTGCCTTTCCATACTGTTAGGGATTTTATTAAAAGATCTTTTAAAGTACGTGCTCAGGAAGATCTGTATCATCGTGTTTCTCATAAGTCGTGGAAGAATGCTATCCCGAATTTGTGTAATGGCCCAAGGCATAAGAGCGGTCGCTGAATTCCGCCTTGCCACCGGACATTGACTGCCTACGATATCATCCCCATAGATTCAAAATTGTTCCTTCTATATCATGCACTCTGTACAGTTCTGGAGAGGAGATGGACGCCGCGCATCTACTCCACTGTCCTGCTCTGCACAGGACTTTTCTCGCCGAGCGTTACTGGGAGACATGTTAGATTAATGGACTCTTATAGCTTTTTTTATATTGTATTACTGTATTCTAAGTTCTTTTTTTTCCCTGTAACTTTTCATAATCTGCCATTGGAAATAAAAAAAATAAACATTCGGTAGATATACAAATTTCAAGAGTGTTTGTGAAAAATCCTTTGAGCAGGTCTCTTTAAGTTGTATACCTCGACAAAAATAGCCTAAAACAAAGGCTTCTGAACTGGAGCCCGTGAACAGTTTTTAAATTTTTTAGTATCAAAATATATGTAGGCGGTATAAAAGAGTATATATAACTCAGTAATTACCTCTCTCCCACAAATGCATTACGAATAATATATACATTTAAATTTGTTGTACACATATTTTTTAAGCTGGCTTATTAAAAAATATTTCAACCATTTTTCAAGTAATAAATTCCATATACAGGTTTCCGTCGCATACGAAAATTTGATATCCTCTGCCTATGTTATAAATTAGCCTATATTATAAAATATAATGGCTAAGTAATTTACAAAAGATTTGCATGTTTTACGCAAAAACGTACTGAAGTATCTATCGCAATTATCTTAAAATATGAATGTCAATGAACAGTGACTTTGTTGTTTTTAATAGTCTTACGTACCTTATGTTTATTTTGAATGAATGCATAAAGTATAGAAAATATTTTTATTTATTTTTAGATACTACAGCTGAATGTGAATTTCGTCAAATGATATAAAAACTCGATATTCGCATAAAAGGTTTTTAGAATTGAAACAAATAAGATAATTATAGTTATACTTATGGATAATTATAGGCTACATTGTCATGGGTTGTTTTGAAGGTTCACGATTCTATATACCTCTAAGCATGGCTTCAATTATACTTATAGTTTTAATGTGTTATCGATTGTGCAGTTTTAGTGTCCTTATATATGGAAATATAATTTCAGATAATTGAATCAAATCATATTCATAATTAAAAGTATTTCTGCGAGATTAATTCAATTGTATATATATGAACGCCACTTGAATATGATTATTGATTATTTCAAATTACACATTAGAAAACCAATATTTCATTCCAATTCGAGATATTCCAAAACAATAAATTTTATTTAATGGATCTTAAATCCAACTTTTTAAATCTTCTCCCACGTTTGAAAAACAACTTTTTTTATGCTTATTATTTCAAATTCTGTTTTCAATAATTATTTTTTATTATTGCCATATAAATAAAAACATTTACCAAATACAATTCTCTTTTAATGTACGAGTATGTTAAAGCAATAAGTGAAAAACACATTCATTTTGAAACTGTTTTATTTCACATTTAATGACAGGTGGACATACATAATGCTTACAAGAAATTTATATTCCATTGAAATTCCACTGATGAATATTCAGATTTAAATTTTTATTGCAATTAAATATTCTGTTAAAATTTTGCGTTAAATTTTATTTTTTGGAAAATATTAAAAAATTTTAAGTTTATTTAAAACATAGTTAACTATAACGGAGAATTTGAATATAACTTGAAGTGTGCATGATTGAAGATAGACTAAATAGAAAATAATAAATAGGAATATAACTGGAAAACAGTTTACGTATTTTTGTGGCTTTGAGAATTCTTCAACATCTTTTGTTCATAAATTTCTTTATTTATATTTTATAAATTCTTCCCAAAATATAATTAAAAATTCCGAGTTTTCTTTCAAAATATCAGATAGAATGTAATTACTTGCTTATGCAACTTACGTTTGAGATTATTGTAAACAATTATTAAAATTCAATAAATCGTTAGAACTTTATTTCGAAATTTCAAAAAGATAAAAATATATCGAATCATAAAAATTTAAAATTTATAAGCCATTAATAATTTAATATGCCTAATTTGAAAGAACTTAAAGATACTAATAATTAGCACCAACTGTTGGCCTGAAAGCAAAAGGTAATATAAGGAAAGCAGATTCTTTTTGGGCTTTGTAGTTTAGAACACATAAATGTTAGCTAGGTTTCGTCATCAGGATCGGTGTAGTGAAACACCTCATATCTAGTGCTTTACATCTATTGGTTTGAGAAGGATAAGGATTAATTTCTCAAAATACATTTTCTTTTAATTTGGGGTCCGAAGTACGTGAAATTGATAAGTTTTAAATTTCTGCCATTTTCGACGTTTGATTATGAAACAATGTCCTTTTAATGAAAAGGTTTCCTATCTATCCTATATACCCTATCTATAAAAGTACTATTTTTTTGCTATTACTAAGCAATGAATACTAAATATAGGATAATGAATATCAATATAACATTTTGAAGTATTGATACACAGAAATAAAGAGAAATATTTGAAGAAGTAAAAATTTATAAAGTCTAGATATTTTAATTTAAACAACTGCAAGAAGAGAAATGTTTAATACACGTGAAATTCTTAGTTAATTTTCTGTATGTTTATCTTAAAAAAGTAATCTTAATTTATAAAATTCATATCGTATTCGAAAAATTTAGAAAATATGATATCATACTTCTTAAAGGTTAAGTTTCGAAATTTGAAAACTCCATGTAGATAAGTTTCTGGTAATTATTCAGTTCGGCATCTAATTCTACACGTACTAATAAATTGCAGTTTAATAAGAAACTTCGGGTGACTTCTAGAATTTATTGAGTAACTTTGAATTTGATTATTAGAAGTGCTAGCAGTATCTTCAAATTTCTCACATAAATGAATTTAATTGTCATCTCATCTCACATATGCTTATAAAAGAAACTACCTTCAGCACTTCACTCATACTGAGCATGATGACGAAACGCATTCAAGTATGAGTAACAGTTAACATTCATGTTAATGTCAGATTAGGTTTTCTAGAAAACTGAATCTCAATTTTTTTCTGGTTCTATAATACAGGGTGATTCATTGAAATCATTTTTCATTCTCTGCTTATTTGAACGATAATAAACCTAGCAGCACTTTTTCATATTGTTACGAAATGTCAAGGCGCGGTGAGATAGCTTCCCCGAAAGCAGTTTTAGGGTTGCCATAAAATGGCAAAGGAAGGCAGAGTTGTCACATTTAGCGAGAAATCGCTCATTTGGCGACATGCCATGGACTGATGGAGAATCTTCCGGAACGAATTCTTGCCGGTTTAGCCCAGAATGTTTTCGAACAATCCATGGCATATCGCCAATTTTGTCGCCAAATGAGTGATTTATCGCCAAATGTGACAACCCTACCTTTTCTTGCCATTTTATGGCAACCCTAAAACTGTTTTGCGGGGAAGCTATCTCACCGCGCCTTGACATATCGTAAAACTATTAAATATAAATGGGAAATTAACTATTTTTAATGCCTAAAATGTCCCCTTTTCTCTTAACAGTCGCAGCTTAATATGTCTCTGTGATCGTTCTATGCTCTGTCATCTATAATCTTGTTTTTCATTGGAGCATTGCCCCATTAGTACAGTTAGTTTCGTTTATAATGTTCTGTTTCAAATTATCGACCCGTTTCTTAAAGCGTGTAGTATAAAATTTGAAGCAGAATATTGACAACGAAACCATTTGTATTAACATGGATGTATTTAACCAAGAACTAGAAATATGGAACGTTGCGTTCAGCTGTGAATCATCCTATATCTTCTGTTCAACACTGAAAAGTTTTTGATTTAAGCTATCGACTCTTCATTAAATTTCAAGCCTCTTTAAGAATCTTATTTTCTTTCACATTTTTATGGGACTATCTTCAAAAGGAAAATTCATCAACATAAAAGTCACTGCATACAGAAAAATAAGTTGCATTTAACACATTGGAGTAGCATAAAGCCCACAATAACAACGGAAGGAAACTGAAGATGACAATGAAGATTGTAATCGTGCTTTGTCCTTTCTTCTTTCTTGTGGAGGAATCAGATCTGAAAATGAGGTTAATTATTTTTCTCATGATTAGCAACAATAACTACAGTTATGAAATTGTATTCACTTCTATAATCAAAATACTATTTACTGCCATCAAAATTACTTTCTGAAATTAAGTAAATTATCAGTTTGAAGAGAGGAAGGAAAGCATAAATGAAGTTTATTAGCAATGCAATTATGAAGCATATATCTCGTAGATTAGTTTGACAATTAAATATAACAAATTTCTTTTTTATATAACAAAAAAATTCTCTATAAAAATTTATAAATTTAATACTGAGTGAGACATTTTCCTTTGAATCAGACATTTTATAATTAAATTTTTCATAATGGATGCATTTGTTTATTACAGAACCCAAAAATGTTCTTACATCAAAAGAGTTGAGGTAATTTAATAGTGCAGAAATTAATGCTTACATTTTCAATAAAAATTACTTTCTATCAGAACTGACTATTTCAATCCAGCTCACTTACAAAACAAACATTTGCAGTGTACCCGTGTACAAAATTAAAAGAAATTCCGAATTATGTCTATTTTTAGGAAACGTATCGTACCAAAGTTATTAATTATGCCGTTGAAGAGTGCAGCTCAGTGTAATGTCCAGTGTCGTTTCCAGTTTGTGCAAACAGTTTCAGAACACTATATCCATATGAAAAAGATATGGATAAAGTCGACCAAGATCCACAACGATGAATGACGATCGTTATTTGGCTCTTTATCATGGCGAAACAGGACAACTACAACTTCATAGCTCTCATGTGCGCTGTATGCTGCCACTGGAACCCGAGTTTCACGGTCTACAGTTGTCTGAAAGCTTCATGAGATACAGCTGTGTGCCAGAAGACGCAATGTTTCCGTCTTGCTCACTGCAGCACACGAGAAAGCACGTCTAGCATGATGTAGACAAGTTAGCACCACACTAAACGAGTATCTGCAGAGAACCTGGAACACGATACCATCCCTCCCTTATCAAGAAAAAGGATCATTTCAGTAGTGGAGTATAATGGTATGGGTAAGTATTATGTTGAACTGCCGCACACTCCTGCATGCGTTTGACAAAGACTCCTTAACTGCTATGAGGTATAAAGAGGATATCTCAGAGTTTTATGTTCGACTTTTCAAGAGCGCAGTTAGTCCTGGGTTCCTATTAATGAACGACAAAGCTCGTTCACGTAGTGCTTACCCAGTCAATCATTACCTGCAAAATGAAAGTATTTAACGCATTGAATGGCCAGCTAAATCTCTTTAACCCTCTAAAGCAGCGGTTCTTAACCTTTTGACTTAGGCGTACCATCTAAACAAAAGCTTAAAACCTTTAGTACCACCACTACAAAGTACTACTACCACCACCACCCCTCTTGAAAAAAGCTCAGATCGCATAAATTTACGAATGTTAGAGAAAAAACTCAATCAGGATGATGGGATTATAATTTTTGAATTTAACAGTTAAAAAAATACTTTGCTTCTTTGCGTACCACCTGTTTTTCTCTTGCGTACCACCAATGATACGCGTACCACCGGTTGAGAACCCTTGCTCTAAAGCATGTCTGGGATAGTATTGGGAGAGCATTTCATCTCACCATTCGCCGCCAAGAAACACCCTGGATTCGAAACTGCCTTGGGTCAGAAGCGGGATCGACTACCACAGAGATTCCTCAGCTGCCTTCTGCCCAGTACGCTGGCACGCTAGACACCTGTCTGGCTGTGTGAGGAGACCATACCCCATATTTGATTCATTTTCAGTTCATCATCACAACATGGATTTTGTGAGTCTCTGCACTATAAGCTTTGCCGATAATCATGCGTACATAAAATGACTTTTGAATGGTACATGTCTTTCTCGGTTATAAATGCAGTCATACTAAATTACATTAAAATCTATCCATTAGCTTTTCAGAAATTCTTCATAGAGAGCAAATTTTCTTAATTGTACACACGAATTTATTTATTCCCTTATAGTATGGTTTTCAACATTAATTAATCCAGCGTATATCTTCTACTTTCGAATTATTTGTAGTAATATCCATCGTTGACATAAAATCGTCAACAAGCAATTTTGAGAAACAAATTAATAATAAGAAACTTAATTTTAATATGATCATTAATTAGAATTAAACCTTAGTCTGTCGAATTATATTTACGGACTATTTTAAATAACATAGAGAAACTAATTGTAGTATCTTCTGATTGAATATATTTGAATTCAATATATAATTAGAATTTTTTTATCTTGCAAGACACTTTTACTGACAAGTATTTATTAAATTTTATACTATTGTACATAAATTTGTATGTGCATGAAGGAAGAAAATTCTAAAATGCAAATGCATAAAACCTTCTGCTGTATTTATCTCGGGGTATATCTTTCTCCATGGTTTAATAGGAGACAAGCAAAGATATTGGGATTCCTATATGGTCTTTAGATTTTCTTTAGCATCAGTATTTTTCTGCTAAAGAAACATTCTTATTTTCGACTGTTGATAGCATTAAACTGTTAACTGATCTTAGTTGATCTGCTGATCCTGAAATAATTCACTCAAGGAGTCATGAAAGTACTTTCTTTGAGTATACTATGCTTATAGTATTGAATTTCCATGTATGTGAATCTTAGCACATTTTTAACATAACTTTAAGTAACAAGATTTGCTTTACATCCTGTCCTAATAAATAGAAAAGAAAATTATCTTTATTTTTTTAGCGATGAGTATTTCTTTCGTAACATAGCTTTATGTAACTTAAAAAGCTTTCTAATGCCGAGACGATAATATTTTTAATATTTTTATGATAACTCTTCTATTTATGATTCTAAATATTTAGTTCAGATAGTTTTTGGTGATAATTTGTAGGAAATACTTCTTAACAATTTAAGGTCCACCAGAAGCCGAGAGGATGAGAAAGCTGAAAACTGGTAGTTCAAATCCCGACGAACTTCCTAACTGCGTAAAAAGTTTTGTGATTTTTCTTTGTTTAAGGTGAATGTGAACCACAAAGCCCGTTACGAAGACATCCCTCCATTTAGGCAGATAGCCCTAGTGTGCTTTGCATAGGTAGAATGCATAGAATAAATTCGATATTCAACGATTTAAGTATACTGTCTTCCATACATTGCAAAGAAAATTTAAAATACTCCTAAAAATGCTAAACAAACTTTGCAGTACTTCTAAAAGTGCTTATCTTACCAGTTAGATCGAATCCATAGCTTTGCACAAACAATCTGAACATACATTTTAATGTCGAATAGCCTAGCTGAAATAAAAATGGTAACGTAAGATAACGAAATTGCAGCTTCGAAATTAAAAGTAGTGATTCGTTCTGAGTGACAAATAAAAATCTAAATATTAGGAAAAATGAAGAACATGTATAAAGTTTTTATAGGGTTATACCCAGGCAAGACAAGGGATATTTATAGAATGACGACACATTTTTCATATTCTTTTATATTAGACTCTGATGGTCGTATTTAAAAGAATACGACATATTCTTTTAAATTAAGGAAGAGACAAATCAAAATTTTCAAAATTAGGCTTTATTGTGCGTAGCAGTGAGGAAAGTTAAAGTGGAAACCATTTCCATTGCTGAAAAAATACTTAAAAAAAAACCCATTAACAAACTATTAAAACTCACAAATCAAAATAAAAAAATCTGTGATTAAAAAAATTGCTGTTAATGCAATAATATAAAAGATATTTTGCAATAAACTCCGCATTTGTTACGCAAATAATACCTTACATACGTACGTATTAGCGCAGCCACCTCAGCGAACTTTATGATATTTCAAAGAAGAAAAGAAGAGTTGTGGCTTTAATTGAAAAATAAATTATTTATTACGCACTCCTTTTACTTCCTTGTAAGAAGTATATATATATATATCCACTCTGTTACTCGGCTCAATGACCTCAATTATTTTTGTTCTTATATGTGAGTAAATTGTGCATTTTTTACTTTAAAAGTGATTCAATTATGTTGCTATTATGTTCCATATAAGGTTTTTATGCCTTTATTTAATCTGCATGCAAGAGCTGTGGAATAATCCACAATTTAAAAGCTGTTTAAGTGCGACAAAGCCCAGCAGAGCAGCCATTTGTTTACATTTGAAACTTAGCAGAATAGTGAATTAAGTCGGTTTCTGCCTTTTCAGTGTCTTTTTGCCGAGTAGGACCAAAAGTAAACTTTCAATTTTGTGCACCGAGAAATCTGCCTTCTTGCCCGCTGACCGAATTGCTTATTTTTGCGTAGAAACTCTAATTTTAATTCTAAAACCTGTTTATTAAACTGTGTTGACTGTATTCGGTGTTTTATGTTTAGGAAATAAGTTTAAATGAAATGCAGCAAAAATGTGTATAATTTAACAAGTACAAGGAAGTCATGGGGTGTCCACATCAATTTTTTTTATTTTTGAATTAGTGCATCAATTAATAAATCTATTTACACGAGGCTATTCGTTTCTTTTGTTCAGGTGAAAATTTCATGGCGATCGCTTAGTGAATAGATTCAAAGTACTGATTTCTTCAGCGATTTCGTGGCAAAATATGACTTCCTGGAAAAAAAATTCTGCGCTATGACTTCTACTGCTATAAATCCCATAAGGGCAAATTTAAAAATTCAGTTTAAAGCAAAAACTATCACAATTATATATACATAATCATTTGAATTTGGAATTAAAAAAAAAAAAAAAGAACGCATATGAAAATGGTGACGTTGCTTTTTAAAAGCTGAAGAACTCTCATTCGCATGGTTGCCAGATATGGGCGTTTTTTGAAAATTTGATGACTTCTGTTAAGGTGGTTGCGTTAATACATAATTACCCTGTCATTTTCAGTTGGTTAGCTGATTTACGTTCTAAATTTTCAATTAACTCTAATTTAAAAACTTTTTATCTCTCTTGTGAGTTGATACCATTTTATCATCCCAAGACTATTTTTCTCATTCAATAACAATCGAAAATGGCGAGAAAAAACAAACCTAGTCGTCCAAGCATAAGAAGAAAAGTTTTGA